TGCTAGAAGCTTGGAGGGGAAGTCCAAGAACATCATCCACTATGAGGAAGCCTAAAATAGAATTAAATTTTATTTAGTGGTTCCTCATAACAGGGACTGTGCTGAGGACTTTGAATACATATGTCCTTTAATCTTTTCAAAAAAAATCCCATGCAGTAGGTAATATTTCTGCCTCTCTATTAATGAAGAAAAGACATTTAGAAAGGCTATTAAACAAGACGCAGAGACACCTATAGAAATGACAGATGAGATCTGGAACACACATCTAAGTCTGAATATAAATGCTTTTTATTTTTTTTATTTTTTTTAAGCTTTCCAAATGATTCTTTAATTGGCAAGTACTTTAAGATATACAAACACATTACATTGCCACTAGAAACAGGAAACCAAACCTCAAATGCAGTTTTATAACTTTTGACAATCAGCAGTTAGTTCTCATCCACATTAACTGTTTGTAGATTTTTGAAAGTGGTGACAGGTACATAGGTGACCAATGTATAGAGCTTGTTTGGTGAATCTTCATCCTCATTTCGTTTTCTGGACAACCGCACCCGGATACGGTATGGGACATTCCTTATTCCTTTGGCCCAGACAGCTTTGTTGAGCCTGGTGTCAATGCGCACATCTGGAGTTCCCATCTCCTTCATGGCAAATTTCCGGATCTCTTTGAGTGCCCGAGGGGCACGCTTCTTGAAGCCCACTCCATGGATGCGCTTATGGATGTTGATGGTGTACTCTCTGGTCACTACCTCGTTGATGGCAGAACGGCCCTTCTTCTTCTCACCACCCTTCTTTGCGGGAGCCATTATGCCGGGCCCAAGCTGGAAAGAAAGAGCGCGTGGTATCGTGTCTATAAATGCTTTTTAAAAAATGAATTTACTATTAACAGCCAACACTCTAGAGTTGCCAGAGAGTGCCCAGGGCCCATTATTCCAGACAAGGCGTTTTGACCAGCGACTCATAGAAACTGGCTCTGCAGCAGTGTTCTAGCTCGGATGTCACTGAAGAGCTCATATTTCTGTTCCACCAGCTGCAGGGTGATACAGAAAGGAAAGGAGGGATTGTTGGCTCCTTACCAAAGGTGACCTTCATCAGCCTACCTAGAGGAAAGCAAGTGTCTACAAGCCCCGTCTCCATTTAGACTTTTCCCTAATGATATAATTGTTATTTCCTTTGGCTAATTCTCACAAAATTTGATCCTCCTTGTAGATAGGTCTCTTTTATCTGCATTGGTGTTATTTTTTGGTAATTTTATTTTTGTATCTTTCCATCATTTTAACTGTATTTTTTTTATTACCATTTATTCCTCCCTTTACCCTCTTTCATGCCCACCCGCCCCGCTTCCCCTCACTATCACCACGCTGTTGTTCGTGTCCACGAGTTCATGTTCTCTTAGTACTGGTTTTAAGTGACAAAATTAATGGCTTTGGGAAAGAAACTCAGTGACTCTTATTGAACTTTAAAGCCATTTCATAGACATTGGAGTTGTGGATGGGTGTGGGTAGCATACTTTTATGGGTTTTACCTCCAGGAACTCCACCAGATTCTCATGGTGAAGAGCTAACAAAAACCTTAGTAGTACCCATTTTGAAATACTCCCAGTGCATTTTCCATAACAAAAGCCTACTTTATGGGAGAAATGCTTTATCAAAACCTTATTGATTTTGGGGAGAAGTATAGCCCAACTCTAATCCATCTATTCTTCTCATCTCACCTAAATAAGTAAAAGCAAAACAAAAAAAATTGTGAAGGTCACATCCCAGGGACAAAGGATGAAAAGGATGAAAAGACTGAGATCTAATCATAGGACTATAGACTACCTCCTGTCCCCAATATTTACCACCATACCAACAGGGCTCCAATATTGTATCAGTGGACAAAGGCTGGAGAAGCTGCAAGGCAGATACTCTATTTAAGAAAGTATTCTTATGGAAACCCAAAGACTACAGATAAGACAAAAATAAGGACACTAAAGGAAACTGAAGCTTCAAGCACCCACAGCTACAGCAAGCAGTAAACACAGCATAACTCTGCCAGATAAATATAAACTCCCACAATGAATGCCTGTTTACCTCAGTTACTGTTATCCAGTATGTCACGTCCAGCTTTCAATAAAACATTATAAAGTACTAAAAGACAGGATAAAGTTGTCTGAAGAGGTAAAACAAACATTTAGAACCAGACCCAGATATGATACAGATTTTGAAATTATAAGACAGGGAATTTATAATAACAATGATTAATACATTAAGGGCTCCAATAGGAAAGCGGAAAACATGCAAAAATAGGTGGGTAATGTAAGCAGAAAGATGGGGAAAAAATCAAAAGGAAATGCTAGAAATTGGAATCCTTTCACAGAAATGAAGGAAGCTTCTGATGGGTTCACCAATAGACTGGATACAGCCAAATAAAGAATCAGTGAGTGTTATGATATGTCCATAGAAACTTGCAAATTGAAATGCAAGGAGAAAAAATTATGAAGAAAACCCCCCAGAACAATATACCCAAGAACTGTGAGATAATTTTTAAAAATGTAGCTTATGAGTAATTGGAAAACCAGGAGGAAAAGAAAGAATGGAATAAATTAAATAGTTGAAGTAAAAATGGATGGGGTTTTCCAAAATGAATAATGGATACCAAAGAACAGATAAAAGAAATTAAGAGACCACCAAGGAGCCCAAATACCAAAAAAAATATATGTGTAGGCATATCTAATGCCAGAACTCAATGACCTTGAAGATGTGTGCTAATATCAGATTACACTATGCCTACATACCATATATTATTGCTCTAATATCATAGGGACCCTTCAATACCCACTTTTTGCTCTGTATTTTAAACATCTTTACCAAAAATAATATTTTGACCTAAGTCCTGGGGAAAATGTTATTACTTGTTGAAATGTGTATAAAAGAAAATTGAATTCTAAAGAAGTAGTCTTTCTAGCTATGTTTGAGCCATACTAAGACTAGTATTTTAGGTGTAGAATGCATTATCTTTGCAAAACCAAATGACAAAGCTGTTGATTTGATTTTTAAATTCATACTTAAGTAATGCTTTTAAAACTGGTATATTGCCAGTCTGCTTTTCTTTGAATATGTTCATATTCAAGAGGTAAGATTGTGCCATATCATTTGTGGAAAGTGTGCATACCCAAGCCTGATGAGAAATGTGACAACTCTTAAAACAGTTTTCTGGAACCAACATGCCATTGCCACACACTCCCAGCTTCATTTTACTGGGAAAAGTTATTCTTCTATTTTCTTTTTCAATATAAATATTTTTGGCACCTTCTACACTGAAGCATTTGTATTTAGTTATTGTGTGATGTGACTCTTCCTTACAATCTGATGCTAGCACACATCTTCAAGGTTACTGGTTTCTCGCATTAGATTGGTCTTAATATTCAACTGAGATGGTCTAATACTGAGACAGACCCACTTACAAAACACATGAAGAATCCACTAGAGGGCAGCAAAGCACAAACCAAATTTAAATTTTCCCGGCGCCCCCCTCCAAAGAAGGTGCATGTCATCACACAAAAAGTCTATATTGCAAAGATTTCTTAAAAGCAAAAAATTTAAATTAGTTCAGTGATATAGTCATTTATGTACAAGTGTTTCTCCTTTTTTGAAACTAGTGATACAAGGTTGAAAAGCAAAATGAGAGCAGAATTTGTTTCAGTGTCAGCTTCTTTATTAATTGTGATTTGTTGCAACCTGCAATTTGCCTCTCTGGCCCTTTCTGTGATACATGGATTTGCACAAAATGATTCTTACTATTCTTTTGACTTTAAAATTCCACTGTTTTGTAATTTATGATTCTATTTTAGTCACTTTTAAATTATGATTAGGCTTTTACATTATTTGACCAATCATAACTTGAGGATGTTAGCAGAAATCTGTTTGGAAATACCCACCATTATGTCATGGAAAATTTAGGTCCCCGACATGCATTGATTTATCTTCTTTATAAAATGACACTTCTGTCCCCAAACTATTACTTGTATATAATCTAGTGACGATAGTGATTGTAATGTTTTCTGGAGTAAGACTTTACTATTTAAGCCATCAAAGTAATCTATTTTTATTTGCAAAAAAATCAGAAAAATAAAACCCCACAATAATCTTGTATATAGCCAAGTGATTTTCACTCTCCACTTCCTATCCTTTTAAAGAACTATATGGCCCTAGCTGGTGTGGCTCAGTGGCTTGAGCATTGGCCTGCAAACCAAAGGGTCACTCGTTTGATTCCCAGTGTGGGGCACAAGCCTGGGTTGCAGGCCACGTTCCCAGCAGGGGATGCACAAAATGCAACCCCACATTGATGTTTCTCTCCCTCTCTCTCTCCCTCCTTTCCCTCTCTCTAAAAGTAAATAAATAAAATCTTTTAAAAAATTAAATCAATTAAAAAAAATAAAGTACTATATGTGTGAGTAAGTATTAGTTACTCAACAAAAGTCCTAAAATTATGAAGGTTAATCATTTAAAAAATAATAATTGTTGTCTTGATGGCTCCTGAAACTGGTGACTTTGAATACTAAGGACCACATGATAGATCTGAACTACTGATGGGTCATCCTTCATTTGGTCAACCACTTCTAGCTTCTGGGTGTAGTTGATCTTGACAGCTAATGAATTCACAGTTATTCTTCACATGTATTATAATACCCATCACAATAACCCATTTTGAGTTTGTACCTGAGTTGTGACCGAAACTCTCTAAGTAGCATTTTTCATGAGCACCAATGGATAAAACTGTCAAGAGTTTAATGAAAGTGGAAATCATTTCTGAATCCAGTCTGATAATGCAGTCATATTTAATACCACATGAAATATTTAAATATTTTCACTTTTTTAGCAGAAGGACAGAGTTTCCTCCTATGTGCATAAGAAAGATGCCTGGCTGGCAGTGAATGTGATGGATGAAGGAAAATCATCCTTTAAAACAAACTAAACCTATTATCAAAAGCCAGAGGTAGAACATTATGGGTACGCTCCTGACTCCTTGCCCTGGTATATTAGCATACATGGTGCCAATACGACTGGCACCCCTTTCTCTTTGGAGGCCAATTAGTTTTCTCTTCAGAATCTTAGACTCAGCTCATCTCAGTGCCTGAAGTCATTATCATAAGATAAATTACTCATTTAATTGATTTGCTTTTACACCAGAGGATGAGGAATGTGAGGAGACCCCAACCTTGGTGTTCACAATTTTAGATATAAAATACATTCGTGGGGTGAGCCCTTGAGACACTGTGGTATTACTTACAGAGAGTAATCGGTATAACACTGATTGAGCCGGTGCAAATTCTGACTGCTCTTTATTCTGAGCCTTAACCTCCACATCCTAAAACAAGATCGCAATGCCTACCTCTTAAGGGGGCTTTTAAGAATTACAAGGTAATGCTTGTAAACTATTATATTATTTAAGCTTAGAATATGAAAATGGTTTTAGTTCTTCCGGTGCTTTTCCAACAAGATGTTGCCGAGAGTATCAGCTTGGGATTCCTACTAATTCTCTGTTGAACTGGGACAAGTCACTTCAGCTCTCTTGGCTTCATTGTCTTATCTAGGGTCTTAAATAATGCTTTAAAATTAATAAATCCTCTAAAATGGTTTCAAGGGATGTTGTGGAATGAGCAAGCGGCAAAGTGAGAAGATTGGAGCAAACAGATCGCCAAGGCACCCTATAGTTTTAATACTTCACGTCTCTCCCAATATGACTGTAGGGAACAAATGAAACGCAAATAATCAGCTATCTGCATTTGGTAACCCTATTGCAGAACACCATACCATTTGCTAAAAAGAATTTTGAATGTATCTACACAAAATATCACATCCTTTACTGTGATAATTAATGCAGTATAATCTCGACCAATATTGGACATAAAGGCATCAGCTGAAGAATAAATGACATTAATTTTGTACAAAGCGGCTGTCAGTGTCCAAGAGTCCCCAGCGGGCAGAAAACACCCCGCGGGCAGGGCCTGAGGCCTGGGCGCCCACAGGGCAACGGGTGGAAGCTCAGCAGCAACTCGTCCTGGCCCAGCAGGCGGCCCGCTCTTGGCCGCGGCTTTTGTTCTCAGCCTTGACGCGCACGGCCAGGCGGCACACTTCGTCACTCGAGAGTCCGTCGAAACAGAGGTTCTGGTCGGAGACGGTCTTGCGGCTCCGGCGCAAGACGGCGCTGCGCCGCTGGTGCCTCTTGCCGGGCGGCTGCAGGATCAGGCTGACGCGGCAGCCGACGACACTGGGCTCGGCTGCTCCTCTGGTCGGGCCCTCGGAGCGGAGCAGCCGGAGGCGGAGGCGCCCGCTGGCCTGACTGTACTCGGCGGCCAGGCGCAGGGCGCCGCTGGCGCGACCCAGAGGCATAGTGCTCTCTGCTTCCAGGAGCTCGGACCGCGGGCTGGTGCACAAAGGAAGGGAGGAGGAGAGAATCCGGGCCGGCGACCCTGAGCCGGCGCCGCGCTCCTCGTTCTCGTCCCTGCTGGACAGAGAGCGGGCGCAGGCCAGGCTATGACTCCTCGAGGCCCTCAGCGCGCGGCTCAGCAGCCTTTCAGAGGCGCGCAGGAGGCGGTGGTCGCGGGGACGCGGAGCCAGCATATTCTGGGATGGGCGGGAGCGGCCGGGGACCGCAGGGGTGGTGGCTGGGGCTCTTCCAGAGGGCTGGAGGGGGGCGTCTCCTCCTCCGCTGTCGCCGTAGGTGTGGACCCGTGGGCGGAGCGTGGGCAGGACGGACGGCGGCCGCAGGAGCGCGGCGACTCTAGGGTCCCCGAGGAAGAGCGACTCCTTGCGGCGGGTGTGAGGACTCTCGAGCAGTGCGCAGAAGCCGTAGGCTGTGCGCGCGCGGGGCAGGTGAGGCAGAGAGAGAGCGGCCTGCGAGCGCGGGTCCCAGTCCGTGTGCCCTGCGCCGTCGTCCGTCCCTGAGTTTTTCACGCAGGAGTCCCGGAGTGCAGCCAGGGAGGGGCAGGGCGCGAGTCGCGGGGGTATGCAGAACTCAGGGATGCGGTCTGGGGTGAGGACGTTGGTACACGGGGCGGGCGTGACGGCCTCAGTTCTGCCGGCCCGACCCTGGAGACGCCCTTTTCCTCCCCGCTGGAGGCGCTGGGAACCCAAGCGGAGCCGCTCCAGGAACAACATCAAGAGGCAGGTGCCGGATCTGGGCGACCCTCAGGTGGAGCTGATCTGCCTGCAATGCACAAGTGCACACGGGTTGTCAGAGTGACCGCCCCCCCCACCCCCCGCCCAGGACACACCAATTCTTATCTCTTCTGCTTTTAAAGTGCTTCTCCTGCCTCCCTCGGGACTAGGCAAACGGCCTCCTCCCCAACCCCGCTGCTCCCCGCACTAACCCCGCTGCTATTGCAAACGATGTTTTGGTGACTGAAAAACAATCCTTCCTCTTTTGTTCTGTCTCCATTCAGTGGTCTTGTACGCTAAGGGGCCCAATGCTTTAATCTCGATCTACCCTAACTGGCCTAAGGCGGAGATTCTCCAAATGTTGGCCTCACGCTGTCCCCTTTGCCAAGAGGTGCTTTGCTCGTGCAGTCGTTTCCTGATTCCTTAGATTATTGTACACTAGGACAACAAGGGCATCTTCAGAGAGAATTAAAACAATTATCCCCTCCAGGACATTCGGCTTGGTTTCCCTTTTTAGGTGCAAAGAACCTCAGATGGGTCACGAGGGAGTTAAGTAAGGTTTTGGGTCCCACCTAATGTACCTGTGGTCCGCCGTCTGATGGGTCTCGCACAGTTCTGCCTGGAGCACTGACCTGGAGGGGCGAGCAGCCTCTGGCAAATTCAAAGGGCGCGCTGCCGGATTCAGTACTAACGTCCAAGGACAGTCGGCTTGAGCCTTTATACCTGGAACGGCCGCCAATGAGCGGGCCGGAGCGACACTGCTCGGTAATCTGACTCCAGGCCTCTCCCACCCGAGTTCCGTGTGCCACGTGGCTGGATCCGTTGCGCAAATTCACTCCAGTTCTTTTCCTCTCCTGGTTGGGTTTGGATGGTATCCTCAGAAAACTCTGAACAAGCTCCTATTTCCTCACGTGTAAAAATAAGGGCTAAATCTTCACTATCTCTCAGAGTCATTGTGAGGATCCAGGGACACAATGAGCATGAATGCACAGCGCTTTGCACCCACTACTAAGAGAAGATAAAAGTTTGGTTTGTCTTATTCTTACTTAATACCCTCTTCCAAATTAGGTTTTTCCGTGCCCAGCTTTCGATGTTTCTTAACTTGCTTCCTGGTTTTGTGTTCTGATTTCAAGTGATTTATCTTTGTTGATTATAAATCAGTCTGGGTACGGGAACTTTATGGGGTGCTGGAAATATTCCACATTTTGATCTGAGTGGGGTTACAGGGGTGTATCACCGTGTAAAAAGTTATCTAGTATACATTAATGATTTCATATAAGATTGTATGTATCTTATACCTCTATTTTTTTAAAAAAATCACGACCCATTTGAGGCGTCCGGGTCCCGGTCTGTGTGCCCTGCGAGGCCGTCAGTCCTGCTTTTTTTGATGCAGGAGTCCCCGAGTGCTGATTTTTGATTGGGAAAATATATTCCTGAATAAAACTGCGCTGTCGGAACCATACTCTGGAGGCACCCTGACCACTTCCGGCTTCCCTAGGCTGTGCCTACCTGAGACCCTTTTCCTCCCTTTTGAAACTTCCATGTGCTGTTTCAGTAAGAGAGCTGCTTCTAGGTAGCTCAGGTTAAAAGAGATCTGAAGCATTTTGTTCAGGGTTTGGGTGTATGCTAGTTCTGCCTAAGATACTGCCTTGCAAACTAATTGCTTCTCCAAATAATTTTTAATAAATTAAATTGAATTCATGCAAAGGTGATTTCATGATGGGATAATGCATTTTATTTACAGGATATACATACATACACAGGCACTATGTTTGATAATTTACATAAGTCTCTAGAATTATCACATAAATCCTGCAAATTATGATTACTCTTAGTAACTTATCCAAGTTCACATAGTAATGGGAAATGGAAGGAATAATACATACTCGTGATTGTAACTGAGTTGTTTTGGGAAGTAAACAAACCTAATAATGTGAAATACTTAGCACTGTGCTTGCCTGGGACATGGTAAGTGCTGAATACATCGAAGTAATTATTATTATTATTAATAAAAATAGAAGAGAGGTTGTAGAAGGTAGTGATTAAGAAAATTGGGTCTGAAATCAAATCTGGTTTTGATTCTAGAATGGTCACTCCCTATGTGACCTTGAGCAAGTTACTTAACTTTTCTAAGCCACAGCATCAAAGGTAAAATTAGGAGATGGAGCCTTTGGGAGTTAATGGGATTAGTGACCTTACAAGAGAGACCCATCATCATCATCATCATAGCATCTACCTATAGAGTTATGTGAGTATATAAGACAGTGCATATAAAGAGTTTAGCATAGAGCCCCTGACATACACAGTTCCAGAAGTTTATTATTGTTACTAAAGAAAGCAAAAATTCATTCATTCATTCACTCATTCATTCAAAGCAATATTTACTGAATACTTCCCGGGTTCCAGCCACCATACTAGGCAGGTGGATCCAGGCTGTCCAGGATCCTATTGGCTATGAACATCCGTCAGAAGAGGAATGGAATGATGAGGGTGAAATGTTTGAATTCCATATGGCAAAGGCAGGAATGAGAAGGGACTGTTGAACATTATTTATATATTTAGTCTAGGGGGCAGGGTTGGTGAGTGCCTGGGTTTGCCATGACCTTGACTAACTACTTAAGGTCTTTATATCATCTTCACTCCTGGTCAAAATTCTGGAGCCAGAGCTAAATCTGTGGGAGAATGATGACCAAGTTACATACGTGTAAGTCACGTGCATATGTTTTGACTTAACTTTTCTCAGAAGACAAGATGCTGTTAGCTCTGCCTGTGAGAGCCCAGAGAGTCCGTAGTCAAAATGGTGAGACTCACAATCTGAGAAAGTGGCTGCGAAGTAGTTAAGAAAACCTATGTTGTGGTGACAGAAAGGAAAAAAGCACCAGGGCATGAGAAATGATGGAGGGGTGAAGAAACAGAGACTTTGGAGTGAATCTGTCCTAGGTTCAAATCTATTATGCAACTTTTTAGCTATAGGACTGCGGGAAAGTTAATTAACCTCTTTGAGTCCACATTGTATAATGGAGGTAATAATACTTACCACATGAGATTGTTGTGAGGATCAAAAATTCATGGAGTGCCTCTCACACAGTAAGCGCTAGCTAACAGTTACCAGTTATTATTGTGAGGGTTTGCTTGGCCAGGGATTAACTGACTCACACACAGGTTCCTTTAAAAACTGTTCTCTGCCATAGCTGGTGTAGCTTGGTGGATTGAGCGCGGGCCTGCGGACCAAAGGGTCACTGGTTTGATTTCCAGTCTAGAGCACATACCTGGGTTGCAGGCCAGGTCCGCAGTCGGGGGTGCGTGAGAGGAAACCACACATTGTTGTTTCTCTCCCTCTCTTTCTCCCTCCCTTCCCCTATCTCTCTAAAAATAAATAAATAAATAAAAGTACTCCAGAGCAAACAAAACAAAACAATTCTCTTCTTGGCCAAGCAAAGAAGATTTTGCTTTGTTTTTTGTTAACAATTCATCTTCTTCAATAACACTATAGAAGCATTTCCTGTATGAGATTTCTTGAAACAGCAGAGATATTCCCTTGCATGGCTGGTCCCTGTGACCACATTAAACCTTATGTTTAACTTACTTTGGAAGAAGCACGAGCCATGTGGTGCTTGGGAAGATGGTGTAACAGGGAGAGGCCCTGTGCCTGGAAAACACAGATTGTGGTTGTTCTGAACTCACAGCCATAGCCATGGGGACGTCCAGTATTGGAGCTGGCAAACAACTCTGTGAAGTGAGCATAAGTAAATCACTAATCATTGAGGCCAGAGGTGTTCTTGGAGTAGAAAGAAACTGAATAATTTAAAGCAGACTTAAAAAATAATATATAGGAGATTGGATGCGAAGGGAAGCAAGAAGAAACTTTACAACACAATAAAATACTGATAGTGTGATTTATCCAACTCATTCAGTAGAACTAGAGTATTGAGTAATGGAAAGAATGGAGACCAAAAGTCAGGACACTGGGGTTTTAACTCTGAGGGTCACTAACTTGTGGGACTTTAGTAAATCCCTTAATTCTCTCTTGCCACTCAGCATCTCCATCTGTCAGATAAGAAAGTAGTGTTAACCAGATGATACTTGTTTTCCCCTGGCTCTAACAGCTGCATGGGTGTGTGGGTAAGAGGAAGTTAGAACTTATTTTTCTATTTTTAAAAAGATTTTATTTACTTATTTTTTTTAGCGGGGAAGAGAGGGAGAAAAACATCTATGTGTGGTTGCCTCTTGTGCGTCCCCCACCGGGGACTTGGCTGGCAATTGGGGCATGTGCCCTGCCTGGGAATGAAACCAACCACCTTTCAGTTCACCAGCCAGCGCTTAACCCACTGAGACACACCAGGCATTGCATATCTTATTTATCTATTTTTATGCAAGAGTTCTGATTTTTTAAAAATGTCACTAATTTTGACTTTTGTTTTTAACTGAAAAAACTATTTTGCTATGTATTTATTGCTTACTCTCTCATTGCAGTTTAGTTTTGCAATTGCCTTTTTTGTCCTTATTCTTTTTTTTTTAAGAGAAGGGGGGATCGAGGGAGAGAGAAAGAGAGGAAAAGAAACATCAATATGAGAAAGAATCATCGTCCGTTGGTTGCCTCTCCTGTGTGCCCCCACCAGGGCCTGAACTCCCAACCTAAGCTTGTGCCCTGACTGGGATTTGAACAGGCTACCTTTTGCTTTGCCAGAAGATACTCAGCCCCCTGAGCCACACTGGTCAGGCAGGGTCTTCCCATTATTCTTAGCCAGAATTAATTTAAGAACTATAATTACTAGAATGTTTCTCTCTCTTTAGATAACCTCTGTATCCAATTCTGTGAAGTAAACATAAATAGATCTTTGGGTATTGAGCTACACATTACAGTGCTAGTGGTGTTTCTTGACATTAGTCATAGTTGCTTTGGACAAGGACTGTAAATTTCTTCTTCAACAACTAGAGAAGTATTCCATTGTGTAAGTATCCCAAAGCTGTTTCATCCACTCATTTGGACCGACACTTGGGCTGCTTCCTTATCTTGACAATTGTAAATAATGCTGCAATGTACATACAGGTGCTTAAGTTCTTCAAATTAAGAATTTTCGGTTCCTCTGGATATATTCCATAAGTGGGATCGCTGGGCCAAAAGGTAGATCCATTTTTTATTTTTTTTGAGGTATCTCCATACTGCTTTCCATAGTAGTTAGCCCTGAAAAAGAAAATTTTATGATTTGTGGCAGTATGGATGGACCTGGATAACATCATGCTAAGTGAAATAAGCCAGTCAGAGAAAGACAAATACCACGTGATTTGACTCATATGTGGAATCTAATCAACAAACTAAACTAACAAGGAAAATAGAGATAGACTCAGAGAGCAGGATAACAGCTAAGGGGGGGGCAGTTAGAGGGGTGGAGTGAATTGAGCTAAAAGGATTCATGGACATGGTCAACAGCATGGTGATTGCAGGGGGGTGGGGAGTATAAGGGGACTCAATTTTGGTAATGGGAAAAATACAATAAAAGTTTTAAAAAAATCTGTAAGAAAACTAATAATAAATTACATATATACACACACACTTTAAAAGAGTAGGGAAGATTTGGGATATTACTGTGTGCACATAATAATCCCTCAAAACATACTTAAAAAGGAAAATATTAAAATATAAAAGCTTTTAATACTAT